TTCTAAATTAATTTCTAAAAACTAAGGAATTAAATTAAAATGAAGACGACAAACTCCAAGGAATCAATGATGGTTTATTTATAAAAGTTGTAATCTGTGATCTTTTTCTTTCATAAGGATCATTTGTGAAAATGTACAATTTGTTTACAATTAAGAGCAGAAAAATGAATATTTTTTTCAAACTTTCTACATTACAAAATGCTTTGTTTAACAATTTTTTTTTTTTTTGTATACTTTGCAGTAATAAAGTTACAATAGTAACTCCAGTTTAAAAAAAACCGAATAAACAATCACAATTAATAGCGGAAGCCATAATTTAACAATTAAAAATAATAATAATAGTAGTTAACGTATATAATATTGCTGGCGAGTGGATAATATCCAACGTAGTTTTCATTACCTTCTCTTTTACAAAGGAACATTCATTTAAAAAAAACAAACAATAAAAAGTACTTCGTACAAATCTATGCAAAATACCATTTCTAAAATAAATGACATTCTGCGGTAAAATATTTTTAAATTGCACAATCATTGCAAGCGAGAATTCATCACAAATGCTTTTTTTTTATATATAGTTATAAACGTGCTCGATCGTCAAATAGACTGACTTTCGTGCGTATGTAAAAAAAAGCCAAGAAGCGCCATAATGCGTATGCTTCGAAGCACGATTTATTCAAAATTGCATCTGTTCCGGACGCTAATAATTAGCATCGCATAAAACGAAAGTTTTGCTGGCACAAGAATTGTTAAAAACTTAAAAAACAAACAGGTAAAAAATGACTAAGCGGAAGCTTTTTTTTTTCTTTTTTTTTTAAATTTTTGCACAGCATTCACTAACAAGTGCACGTAATTGGGAACAACATAAATGCAACACGCAACCGTTCAATTTGATTAACAATGCCGTAAACAACCCTGAATAAAATTACGAAAAACTTTGTTTTGACGAATATACGAAGAGCATATTGCCGTAATGACTAACATTTGATGTGTTTCGTCCGGTACGGTATTTAACGTTCGCCGTAAGATGAAATCCGTACGGCGCGTCATCTTCTGCGGTGCGGACGTTCCACCGAAACGTGCTCACGATTACTTTGGTTAACGACCGTGCTCCTCGACAATATATAAAAAAAAAAAAAAAAANAAACACTATATTTTACATGGTTTTACCATGTTTAACAAAACACATGATTATTTTTTCCTGGAAATACTTTGTATATAACAAGTAACCTACTGTACAAAAAAACAGCAAACAAATTTTCCAGTTCTCACTATTAACAATTTTTCTCTTGTTTTTCTTTTTATATATTTATATATATATATGTATATCAAAAACTGGTTACAATCCAAATTACAGATATGATAATTTCACTGAATTTCAGCAGCAACAACAAAAAATAAAATTAAAAAAGCATGGCCCTATTGCAATAAAAGCAGCACTAGGTAAAAAAAAAAAACATAAAATTTAACAAGCGGCACTAGGTAAAAAAAACATAAAATTTAACAAAGTTATGCTCTTCTAAACTTACTGTCGATAAAATCCGATTAAAAATACAATCTCGATACCACCGACGACAGATCCGACAATTCTGATAAAATATCCGCTCGCATATTATTAAAGATTGTAAGCAGCGAATTTTTAAGCACACGTATGGAATATTCTACAATATTTTCTACAAAACAATTAAAAAAAAAAAAGTAAAAAGGAACATTATTCTGACTCAAAACTGTGCACTTAAGCACAAAATTCGTTTTTCTAGCTGTACAGCAACCTGTACAATGGAATATATATATATATATATATATTTTTTTTTAAAAGAGTATTTAATGTAGGGATGAGATGGGCAGGAACTAATATTTGGTAAAATTTGGCCCTCGCAAAATGGCATCCCTAATGAATTTGCAAACGATGCTGTCGGGCTTAGTGTTTAGTATTTGCAAAGTCAGTGACAAAATGCAAGTTTTGCATATTTTTTTCTAATCATTTGCGCCTCTTGGGCTATTCTAAAAAAAGGCTTTGATGCCCTGAGACCTTCACTAAGAAATTCAAAAATGTTTTTTATTTTATTTTTCCTCCTAATACACTCACATCACATACAAGTAATACTAAACTGAGAATTCTAGACTGCAGATCATTTAAAAATGTAAAATTACATTTATTACTGCTTGAAAAATCTGCTACCAGGTAATTCTGTGTAGTAGTAGTAGTAGTAGTATAGTAGTATTATTAGTACTAATTGGATACTTTTAAATATTTAACATCAGTAAAATGATGATTATTCAACTATTAATATGAAAGTACTAGAATTATTTTGAGCACATCAGTTGTTACTGTGCAAGAGCTAAGAAATATTGGCTATATTTAATCTACTTTTCCCATCCTAAACTATTTTTTTAAACCCTGTCCAAATGGGAGAAAAATGTTCTGTACAGTAACATATACATCTTTGAGCTATATTGATATTCCTTAATAGGAACTTATGAAAGAACGGACAAAAAACTCGGACAGAAAAAGGTAAATATAAAACAATCACGTTACATATATATATAAATGTCTTTAGAAAAAAAAATTGAACATTTTATTTTTCAGGTTGTTTTAACAACCAAAGAAAGATTTGTTTAATATAACAGGTAAAGGATTTATCTTGTATATTTTAATATTAAAGATTTAATATATACGAGAGAAAAATATCGTCGACAAACTGCGTTAAAAAGAGGGGACCGCTCGTAGCTGCCAAATGATTGTACTTCAACTTCAGATGTCGAATTGGAAATATAATGTGCTTGTAACTAGATAAATCGTCTTGAGCTTTATTTAAAAAAAGCAGAATAAACTGATATATACTTGATATAATATCTTATAAATCGCTATAATATCGTAATGGGATATAATCTTAAAAATTATTTTAAAACAAATTCAATCCAGTAATTGAGAAAAATCTGGATTTCTAGAATTATGAAAATGCGAATCGTGAATTTGTGAATGAGAAGTATGAGAGGGAGGGGGTTGTTTTTCAGATTCCGACTGCTGATTACTTAATAAATGATGGGACATAGAATTAGATGCAAATAGTGACAATTGTGATAATGGATTAGTATGTTGTGACATAACATTATAGGAACTTAAACCAGAATGTGGCTGAAAAGACTCGTAATGTCTCGCAGCTGCGTGTGGCAACCACCTTGTAGCACCAGGTACGGGTGTCGGAGGTGCAGAATAAAATGGACGAGAATCCGATTCTGAAGTGGAGAGCGGAATCGAAGTGTTCGACAGTGGTGCGGGACTGGGAATACGAGTATGATGAGCATTAGTGGCATGCATATGTACTTGCGACAAAGCTTCTAAAGAGAGATGATTAGTTTGTTGAGAAATGTGGGCCTGTTGTGATTTATGGAGAGAGGATGGAGGGGTTAAATCACCACCAGGAGAAGGGCTAGAAATGTCTGACTGATGAGGTGACATATTATGATGCGGTGGAGTTAAATGAGGCTTGCAGTCCAACTGTGACTCCACATTATATGATAACGAAAGACCACTTCTTGAATTTGGTATGTCTAATGGTAATTTGATTGCAGACTTTGGGGGAGTGTCAGAATGAATAGGAGAAGACTGTCTAGTGGATGGATGAGTGTTAAATGAAGAAAAGCGGGAAGATGCTTGAGACGTATGTAAATTTTCAGAGGAACGCTTTGAGGAACTACGAGATCCGTATGATCTTCTGGATGGCAGCTGACCTGTATGTCGTTGCATGTGTGTTTTTAGATTACCTTTTTGTGAAAATGTCTTACCACAAAGAGTGCAAGGAAATCTGTCATCTTTATTGTGCGTTCTCATGTGGGTTTGCATATTACCCTTCTGGGAAAAACATTTCCCACAGACACCACAAGCAAATGGCTTCTCCTTAGTGTGAACACTTCTCACGTGGGTTTTCAAATTACCTTTCTGTGTGAATCGCTTACCGCAAGTATCACAACCAAAGTCTTTTTCGCCAGTATGAATTTTCATATGAGTATCTACATTTCCTTTTTGAGTGAAACATTTACCACATACTTGACATGAATAAGGTTTTTCACCCGTATGAATCATCATATGGGTTTTCAAATTACCTTTCTGGGTGAAGTACTTCTGACATACCTGACAGGGAAACTGTTTTGTTGAAGGTGGTCGATTGCGTTGGATTCCCGAAGAGTTAGTTGTAACGGACTGCGGCGATCTTTCCGAAAGACTCGGAATTATACTCATCGGTTTTCTTTCTTGAGGAGTCGATGTACTAATGGAAGTACTAACGGGCGTATTATTGTTAGAAGTACAGTCCGTTCTGAGATTGTTACACAGAGTAAAATACTGTTGACAAATATCACATGGATAAGGTTTGTCCTTTGAATCTGGATGGGGACATTTCTGAGAGACGTTATCACTTAAACTTGACATTTTCTCAATGTAACTAGAAGCTGCTGCTAGCTGTGAGATTCCTGTTCGAAAATGTAGAGGATTCTTTTTCAGAAATAAGTCAGTCAAGCTTGCCTGATAGCCAGGTGGCCAGCTTTTCTGACTCAGCGACGAGGATGTAACCCAAGGATATGTTCCGTTCTGCATGATTACAATATGTAAATCACAAAAAGTGATTTCACAGAAGAATCTTCTAAAAATTTCTTGAAATTTTTTCTATAGTATTCATGACTCAAATGTGTGTAATATAGGCCAAGGAAGATATTTTTGTTTCCTGTTTACCTGTGTAAATAGTAAAATAATTTTTATGATTATTTATTTGATCATCATCATCATCAATCCATTATTTCTATGGATAAAAAATAGATTCCATTAAAAACAGGATGTTGCTTTAGTTCTATAACTACATGTTTGAAATACAAAAGTTAATTAATTTATAGATATTTTCTTCTGGTTTAGGCTTTAATATATATCAAACATCATACTGCAAGACTGAAACAACCTTGTTTAAACAGTTTTGTACTGTCAATAACATCCTCTTTTTAGAACTATTTTTTATTTTTTGAATAATTAAACCCCAAAATTTTTTAAACACTTTATTTATAGAAGTAGAGCAAGTGTCATTTTACCATAAGTGCTCCTAAGGGATTGTATCCATATATTTTTTAAAAACCTCAATTACTTGGGATGTAAATCTGGTAATTATACTAAACAGGGAGTCTGGATAGGATATTGGCAAAGGTCATGAAGTTATTGTTTAGTTACTGAATCTTGTGACTAAATAACAAAGACAATTGTCTACTTATATTATTAAAGATAATAAGTAAATTTCAAAAACATGATTCATTATTCTAAAGATATATCAGTTTATTACAATCATGCACTTTTGGTAAATTGATTTTGCTCCACCCGATATATTACGTGTTTTTAATAATAGAAATATATCACAAAATTGTATTAGTTGTCATTGATTTGATTTTAAAACTTAACTTCAATATATTGTTATATTTAAAGTAGCATAGCAAATATTTGAAATTTATGAAACAGATACATTTCATTTAATTCAACAGATATTAAAAGTTGTTATTTACTTTATATGAAAGGAATCCAGGGGAAGAAGCATTAGATTATACATTAAAAAACAGTAAGTATGAATTCTGAAAAACTGATATCTTATAAAAAGATCAGCAATGAAAATAATTTAACTGCAAATTTCTCATTGATATCAGTCTACATGCAGTTAATTTACAGTATCATCTTCAGAAGTAATATACCATCTCCACTGATCCTTACACTTTTGGAAATTTTCTTCATTGAGATCTGTCAGTACATCATTAACACAAACTCACGATAAAAAGTTACAATTTTTATGTTTCTATTGCATTTTCATTAAGTTTTACAGAAAATTTAATAGTATGATAATCAATATTCTCATGTTCCACTTGGGACAGGGTCAATGCACTGTTAATCATTTCAAAAATACTCAGAATATAAATAACAATGCAAGTTGCAACAAGTCTAGCTGTGTTAGAGAATGATCAAATGATAGACTACAGGACATTTACAAATTCTGTATATAAACATTTACATACATCTGAAATAATGTACATTTGGTTTTTTAACTATAAAATGTTTCATTTTAACATAGCTTCATTAATTAAGCAGTCTTATATGTGAGACTAGGGGTAAGAGGATGAAGTAGAAAATGATGAGAATCAGTTGGAAGAAATCACTCGATGCAGTCTACTTTACTTAAACATTTATTAGATGGCACAAAAATTTTTACAAGATGTCACTTAGTTGAATAAACCATAATATTTGTGGTTATATGCACTATCATCATGGAGAGAGAGAGTTCACAAAGTTTGATACCTTAATCATGGGAGGAACACAAAGTTCTTGGTACAGCTAGTCTTCAAAGTGTGTCTGATAGTCCTCAGTGTAAAGGTAGGTGAAATACTCGGTGATCCCAGCGGCAAGATGAGGCACAGACACTAATCCGAAGACTGGAGGAACAGGCAACGACTGCTAGAATAGACCATTCCTTGGTATATTAAAGCAGCAAATACCTTGAAAGCGTCAAAAGATCACAGGAAATGTGTCACTTCTGACACTGAGAAAGCATAAGTTGAAACTCTCTCGGGCCAGAAAATCGACATACACTAGCTGCTGATGAAGTTATCCTGGAGTTGTTTCCCTTTCCCATTCGATTCTCACAGGAGCATGTTTCATTGTAATAAACTGTCTTTTCTATCACTACAGACAGCACAGTATGTGTGCCTTCTCTCAAGTTTCATGATGAAATGGGTCTTCTGTTTAGCCTTTCCTCTTATCTGTAGTTGAAGGTCTCCCCATTCTCTTCCATTCCTGTTTCACACATTGCCTGCCAGCTGCCTGATCAATTTTTTTTAATTGGGGACAAACTTTCCCCATTTTTTTTTGTATCAAGGGAATACAATATGTAGCTGTTTACTACAGACACTTCAATTAGCCAAAAAAATAGCTTTCTCCACCACTTCAGAGACTTCCTTGCAAATGGATAGTTGGAAATATAATGGTTTGCTCTGTCTACAACATCAATATTAGTAGTATAATCACATATTATAGATTTTTAAAAATTGACAGCTTGTCCAAACTATGAAAAAAAATGAAGTTGAGTTGTACTGTACATTACAGTATGTACTGTACTGTAATGTACACAATTTATACTACACATTGTAACAACTTGCTTGCTTTGAAAGCAAGAAATGTAATTTTGTCATCTTTTTGATAGCACACTTATCCATTTCTTTTGGTTTCTTCATTTCATTTGGTAGACCCTTTGTGTTGGTCGTAACTGTGCCTGTGAGATGAAAGCTTTTATACAGGACTTAAGAAAAACAATCAGTAAATACACCTACTTATCATTGGAAGCAACATCTTTATAAGACACAGCATAATCCTACTTGTTAATGGGAGAAGGTCTGGTTGCACTTCTCAAAGTATGGAAGAATAGCAAAAACCTATGTTTCTGCTATTCTTCCATACTGCCAACACACAAATTCACAAGCCCCATTTTGTGAGTTTCTTACGGTTGTACCACTTGAATTGTATTTGGTCTTTGCCATCATAAAAGCACTGTAGGGTTCAATGTCTTGAGAAGGAACAAAACATTCACAATATTTGTTAAATATATTGATGACAACAGTTTTGCACTTTACTGCTACCTAACTGTGTATACCTTGAGTTTGTTGTGGAGAAGATGGTGATAAATGTAAGCACCAATAGAGCTGGAGAAATCTGACAAGAAAAATGTCTTTGAAGAATGAGACTTTATCCAACCAGTTCTCAGAGGAGTACAATTTTTTTTATCACGTTTAGTCCCATATTCAATAGCTCACCAACCAAGTTTTCATTTCTTCCAATCATTCCAAACTGAGTAATTTTTCAGTAGAGTCGCTTCTTACATTTTTTCTTTGAAAGTTTGTTTCATTCACAATTTATACTACTAAATCATCATGCCACTTCCAGTTGTATTACACAAATTCATTATTTGGTGACCTATTACACTATGGACCACCGGACCACCACTATTTGTCACTATAAACCAAAAACATTCAAAATCATTTTTAATTTTCTGTGTATAGCTTCCACTTGGACAAACCACCTTCTTCTTCAACAACACTTTCAGAAATAATACTTGCTTCATTACTAGACGAATCACTGACATCATGTGTAGTTGTATTTTGGTCTCTGCCTTCATCACTAAATTCGTTTTTACCACTAGAATCCTTGTAAACCTTCAAGAAAATCACTTATTCCCTGGTCACTCAAACTGGTATTTTTGTGCACTGCCATAATCTTAATTTGAGCAGCTAATACAATGCACATTATAAAACAACCCTATAGAATATGATACATAACCNTTTTTTTTTATTTTCTAAGAACGCAATTAAAATTCCCTAATTAAAAATTATGCCTTTAAGATGCGCATTATAAAGTGAATTTCTTTTTTCCCCTAATTAGAGTCGGCATTTCGGATAAGTGCCGTCTGGAGGAAATCGTGAAGTGCATCTTAAATCGAAGGATTTTGACCCGTTTTTTTTTTTCGAGGAAAAAATAAAACGCTAAACTTTCGCGTTAAAAGGGGATAATAATAATAAAAGCTCTGACGGATGAACTACGACCTTGAAAAGCGACGTTTCCTCCCCTCGTGGCGTTTATCGATATTCCGGTCAATTTCCTCTCTAACTTGTATTTACTCGATTTTTTCCCCCGTGTATAATTAGAAGACGATGCGGAAAACCGTGCCGAATGTATCTAAAAGTGTCTAATTTTAGTAATTTAACAAGAAAACCGCACGAGGAAGGAGGAGGAGGAGAAAGTAAAGTTTTTGGTTGAAAGTTCTCCTTAATGAAAAGCAACATCCGTCCGTTATCTGACATTGATAAATCTCCCGGACTAAGCTCCATACTAATAATGAGGAGGGGGGAGAAAAAACTATCTTTACGAAGTTTTATCCAACACTGCCGAAGGAGGATTTAGAGTTCCTATACACCGACGGATGAACAAACCAGAAGCGAAAGGAATTCTCTTTTTATTTATTTTTTTCTCCTTCCTTCTTTCCTCCCTCCTCCTCCTCCTCCTTTTTTTTTCTTTTCGTGCTGTACAGGACAGTAATTATGATTCACTTGACTGCAGGCAGCGGCTGGAAGATCGCGCTGTCTCTGACAAGAATGATTGATTACTTGAAAAGATCACGAGGTCTAGCAATGACCCTCCAACATGGAAAATGTTCTAACATCCATCTCTACCATTTATCTTTTTGCATTTTTAAAAATTACAATCGCTTAACTTCCAAAAAAAAACAATATGGCCACATTATTATTAATTTTTAAATCAAAATAATTAAGTTGTTAAGTAACTTACATCATCTTTAATTAGCTTTAATAATGTTTTGTTGTATACTTTTTTTTTTAAATTGTGTTGAAAGCTATAACTTTGAATAAGACATTAAATGATGATGATGATAATGATGGAAAAACTGGATTAATTTTAATTAATGGAAATTAATTTATATATTGTTAAAATTAAATGGCTAATCATCTTTATTGTTGTTTTAAATTTTTTTAAGGTTAAAAAAGTGTTTAATTTGAATGAAGTTTGGATTTAAATAAATTTTAATTACTTTAATTTATTTTTTTAATTATAATTACATGTAAAATGAGTTAATTAAAAGTTTGAACTTAATTATAAATGGCAACAATTCTAGAATTAATTTATTAATGAATAAATACTGATAT